GTTGATAGGAACAAGAACACAGGATGGCGTAGGTGGCAAAAAGAAGAGGAGAGAGAGGAAGAGAGTCCATATTCTGCACAAACACAATGGCACAGGTCACACCCCCACTTGTGTCGGCTTAATTCAGCTGGTCTGCACAGAAGAATATGAACAAGAAGAGAAAAACAAGAATAACAGCACAGAATGTGTTTCTACATTATGAAGGTCAATGACAAATAAGAGTCCCCATGATAAAGAAAAGGAAAAATAGAGTATAAAATACATATTCCAAGTGGCTATAAATGTATTCTTTGTATTCAGGTTGGTTTCAAAAGGTTTAGGAAAAACAAATTGAAGAAAGATTCAAAATTCAAGAAAAAAAAAAATCAGTTTAATGACTCTAAAAATGTTATGTGGCAAACCATTAAGTAAAAAGTAATAACATATTTTCCTTACACCTTAAAATGAAACGAGTACAAATATATATTTTTAAGCAATCAAATATTTTATATAAATATTGAGAATTATTAATTTATAAGTATTACATTTTTGGAGGGTTTGCACCACATGACATTATATAACCTGAATTAAACTTGCTTTGTCAAAAAAAAAGAAAAGAAAAGAAAAATCTTTCTTATTATCAAATTAGATCAGATATCTGGTATATAATTTGTGTTATTTAATTGTTATGTTTTCTTTGTTTAGTTTAGTTAGGTCTTCCTTGTACAGAATATATCAAGACATGATATCAGGACAGTATGAGACAGTATGATTCAGGAATTAAAAAAGTCACTATGTATGAATAGCATTTTAATTTATTTTTGAATGATTAATAGAAAAAAATGGACATCTAGTCATTGACCCATGCTATTGCGTACATTACCATAAATATGTGAACGAACTGATTTTTTGTTTTGTTATTGATTTTTTGCAATGAAAGTTGGACTATAGGCACAGTGTAAATACAGCGTTTAGGACTCCAGCGAAACCACAAAAACCTGGACATCACAAAATAACAACCAAACCCGATTCCCCTCCTTCCGCACATGGCAAGGAGATGTTATCATACACCACATTAGCTCAGCTAGTGTCTCATACTGCTGCCAACTATGTGGTGGGCACAACGACTGCTAGAGTTGAGCTGTGGGCCTGCGTGAGTATTTTGTCAGCCCCTGGTGAAGAAGTACAATCAATCCCAAGATTTCCAACCACTGTGTCCGCATGCAGAACAATAAATTAGATTTGTTTCATATTCACAGCAGCTAAAATAATAAAAACAAATTAATAATTAAAATTTAAACATGTTGAATTCAACTTAAAATCTTTATACTGAAACATAAAGCTTATGGACATGTTATAGATAAATTACATTTGTATTTTCTATTTTGCCACTGAGTGGTCCGTCTTTTCGTGCAAGGCTTTATTGTCTGCGATTTTATGCATTAAGTAAAAACACTGAACATGGAGGCAGTGTTTGGCTTTATCTCCCTCTCCACCTGCTCCAGTTTGTTGCATTTTTACCAAAGGAAATGGTTATGAATGAAAAGCCACATGCCTTCACAATCAGCTTGCTTTATCAATCTTTCATTCACTGTAATTCAAAATGAGAGGAGTTTATGAATAGATGAATGAGAAGATGTATCAATATTTCAGTTGGTTTAAAGTCACAGTCATGAACAAACATGCATCTCGAGACATCTCTGTCTTTGTCCCGATGGAATGTGTTATGAAACGAAAAAAACTGAATGAGAGTGAGGGAAGATAAAGACAAAACTAGCAAGGAGAGGTTCAACAAAGCAAGGAGAGGTGAAAAATGTCTTTCCAAAACTAGTTTAGATGATCAGTCTCTTATTAGCTACTAACTTGGAAATATATAGCGCCCTACAAAGACAAAACTAAACTAACAAAAATAACAAAATTATTTTAAGCCATTTTCTCAGTTCCAGAGTTGGTGTACTAACTGTATTTTGCCTTTGTAGGCCATTATATGTGCAATAATTGTAATAGAGAAAAAGCCAGTTATCAAGTCAAGATTTTTACATTTTCTGGGGAAAAAAAGTGTTTCGAGCGGTTGCTTAGGTGTTGCAAGGCTATTTTAGTATCACTGATATAATTTTATAGTTTTTGGTAATATTTTGAATTAGATTTTAGTTTTATATATTTCTGTTATTTTAAGTTTTATTTTTCTATTTATTTCTGATTTTTTTTTTTTTTTAATTTTAATTAAAGTTTTAGTAATTGTGTTGTGTTTTTGTCATTGTATTACTTTTTAAAAATGTCTATATAGTTATTATTACATTTTAGTTTATTTAGTTTAATTTGTAATTTAGTTTTAATTTTAGTACTTCAATTTAAGCTAAACAGAAATAAAAAATATTGCTTTGGCAGCTAGCTGGAATAAAATAAGTTTAAATTGTTTTAAGATTTTATTTAAGTTTTTTTTATGGTTTTGCTTTAGTCGACAATAATAACCCTGGGTTGAGGTTGGAAAAATTAGGTCCACACCATTTTATCGTGGGGTGAAAATCCTAAGTCTTAAAAGTATAACACATTTCTACTCAACAAGCTGGAAACTTTTAGGCATCATTCATGTCTGTAGCACAAGCCATTTAGAACAAACCTCTGACCCTAATCATGAGCAATAATAAGGCAAGAATCACTAAAAATTAGGTTATTGCTGAGCCATGATCCATAAAAGAGCCTATTCTCTTCCACAAAAAAAAAAAAAACCCTACGACCCCC